ATCAATATATCAAAGAAAATACAGAAATGATCAGACAGTGCTACATCCTTAACAGTCGATGAGATGTTTAAACCCTTACTGATAAGTAAATCTAGAGTGTGTCCATGATTGTGTGTGGGACCATGTACATGCTGAGTCAGATCAAACGTTTTTAAAACAGTTTTGATTTCTTTTGCCATATTGTTTTCTGCATTATCTATGTGAATGTTAAAATCTCCAGCAATGGCAAAACAGTCAAACTCTGAGGAAATTGTTGATAGCAGTTCTGTAAAGTCCTCAGCAAAGGCTTGAGAGTATAAAAAAGACCAAGATTCCTTGTGAATAGAACATGCGCAGAACACAAATCACTATGGGGATATGCCGATACGCGTTTACATGACCAAAAATTCGGGTTAGAAAAGGGGTACCCCCAGGTATGATATCCCGGTTTTTAAAATCCGGGATATGAGCATATTCGGGTTTTTGCCGGTGTTTACATGGCCGTGCCTGACCGGGTTATTGCTAATAACCCGGTTTTGAACGGGTTATTGGCTGCATGTAAACGTAGTCAATGAAACATAACTATTACGACATTAATAGTTTGTTAGACCAGGATTTTTGGGCCCGATCACCGAACGTTGATCACAGGAAGCTGTATCTGCTGATACAGATCAGAATGCTGATCTATTTGAAGCCTTTTTTAATCATGTAGAATTATTTATAGATATGCTCCTGTTTTTACAGCCATTAATTCAGAGCCTGAATTTCATTTTGGAAAATGGGGTGGAAATGGGTAGACTGGGGGGATGTTTTTTAATTTGACTGGGTAATTTTTTAGACATTTGTCAAAAAAACAAATTATAACTATCTCACGTAAATGTTTGATAATGCAGTGCATATTTATTTTTTACAATGGGGCAATTGAGTTGCACAATAGCTTACACACAGCACAAGCCTGATTTGAAATTTTGAATTGGATTCAAAAAAAGACAAATTAAAAAGTCAGTAATAAAATAAGAACAAATAAACAATTTACAAGCAGTAGCACAAGTAAATTCAACAGAATAAAGATACAAATGACAAGTTTTAATGTTTTTTTGTCAAACAGTATTATTGAGGTAATACTACAGACGTCAAACGTAATCAATGAATCAAACGTAAAATAATACTGGATTGTCTTCCATGAATACATTAAATACAGAATAATTCTTACAAATAAAGTTACAAAAGTTATTCATTTAAGAGCAGTGAGTGTAATGTTAATCAAACAACAAAAAACAAAAAGAAAATCAGAGACAGCATGCAGGATTATTTATTGGCCGCCGCGTTTCTATTACCCTTCAAATTGCGCAAATTGAAATTGCGAATTGAAATTAAGCTCAATGGAAACACGTCAATTTCGTGAAAGTTTCAAAAAGTTTTTACGCTCGCATGAGGAGGTTTTTCAGGCAATTCGAAAAAGGAATATTTCGCAAAACTGCAATGGAAACAGTTTTTGCGCATTTACAGTCACCTGACTTAGAAGACGCGGTGTGTTTGGGGTCCGTGGTATACGCAAATAATAATAGGCTAATAATTATCATCCTTATTATAACATTTATTAGGCTACATATTTAGAAGATGCTTTTATCCAAAAAAAGGAACAAAGCAATTCGTCAAATGTCATTCATAATGGTTAGACAATAATAATACAGGGCTAAGATTATCACAAATAAGCATAAGATTTTGACGCATATCCAAGTGTTTGTGCGGAGTGTGAGCGCGCTGCAGGCAAGGAGACGCGGGCGCGAACACTTGCGTTTTCCTATCAACAGTGGAAGCAACTTAAGATACTCTATAATTTCTGGTCATACAGAAAATAATAATACATCATTCGCAACTATGCTTTCATTTGTGTAAACTCACAATAACAAGAAAACGTTGTGTAAAATAAAATAAAACAATCATGCGCGCTTTCATGATCTCCGTGAACTGTACCGCGAGAACTGAAACAAAGTAGCCTATAGCCTATGTAGGCTAAAGCTTGAAATGTCCACTTTAAAACGAACAAATTCGAATCGAAAGCTAATACCTTCTGATTATGTGATCCGTATGAAAGGTGCATTTCTCTCTAAAGGTGCATTCGCGCGGCGCGCCTCAGCGGAGATGGAGATATGTTTTTAGCCGACACTAATTTAGAAATAATAGTTTATTAATAAAATTAAAATGCCTCGTTATTTTTTCAGACACATTTATTATCATTAGCCTATAACTCACCTAAATCACCTTTCTGTAGGCTGTGGTTCCAGATATAGGCCTAAATATGGCTCTTCTCATTCAGCACCAGTGATGGGAATAACGGCGTTATAAATAAACGGCGTTAATAACGGCGTTATCTTTTTCAGTAACGAGTAATCAAACGAATTACTGTTTCCCCCGTTACAACGCAGTTACCGTTACTGACAAAAAAAATGTGGCGTTACTATAATTGAACTCACTGAAGCGGTTTTCATCCGAGTAGGCTCTCTCTCCGGCTCCGCCATAGGACCTGCAAAGTTTTTTTCTCTGGTGTGTGTGTGTGTGTGTGTGTGTGTTTATGAGGCGCCGGAGTGGACAAAAGCGAAGCCCGAACGGCGCGTGCGCGCTCAATGCGCGAGAGAGACCGAATGTGTCCGAGAGCGCGCTCAACAGTTGCGCAAGAGAGACCGAGGGTGTCCGAGCATTATATAGTTTGTTTATAAATAAATGACTTATTTCAGCATTAGACAGCATTATCTATAGCCTATTGGTATCATCTGCAACGTTAATTAATTTACATGGTTATACAAATAAAATCTATAACACTGAAAACATCTTTGTTTGACCGGTTGTAAACACGTGCGGCAAACATGTCTAGAATTTGGCTTAAATAACCTCTGATGATGATGTTCGCTATAGGTTATAAAAATAAACCCCCAAAATAATATTTTTTTTTTTTTTTTTTTTGGTAAATTGTTCAGTATTATATTGAGAGAGCACTTGTTAAACTGTTTACTTTTGTTAGGAAGAAAATACTTAGGCTACAGTATGTCTACTAGTTGTGAAGTTGTGTAACAGTTTTATCATTTTAATATGCACAAAGAGTATGTATATTTTTTATTATTATTTATTCATTTTTGGTACATTTCTTAAGAAGCATAATTTATTTTTAAACTTTAAAAATACTGTGTGATATTAAGTATAAACCATGATGTTTTATTGTTTTATTTTATTGTTTTATTGTTACATTGTCCCACAGCAACATTAAAATAGAATAAATTATTATTATAAAACATTGAACGCTAATCTACACTATTAAGTGTCCATTTCATTAATTTAACATATTTAATACTGGGGGCATCCAAATTATTTGACATAGGCCTATTTGAATTTTTTTTTTAAAGTAATGCAATAGTTACTTTCTCTGGTAATTAGTTACTTTTATAATGGTGAAACTCAGTTACTAACTCAGTTACTATTTGTGAGAAGTAACTAATAGCTATAACTAATTACTTTTTTTAAGTAACATGCTCAACACTGTTCAGCACTGCGGAAAAAATATAATTTTCAGGTTCTAATTTGGCCTTAGAAAACCATTAAAATCTACATTTTTTTGTATTAAGTTGTGAATATTTTAAATGTTTAATAAAGGGGCAAAAATTCATAAACAAACATCTGAAATTTAGTCGATTTTTATTTTTTTTGCGCAGCATTTGTGTACAGTTCAAATTTAAAATTGGTGTTCAACTTTGCATTTTAAAAAAACAACCACCGTTCATTTTTCGTTTTGCAATACGGGTTAAATAGCCTAAGGAAAAACGAATGGACACAAATGTACACTGACCGTTTGGACAGAGTTCTTTATTAAATTCATAAAAGAAACAATAGGCTACAGGAATACTGGATTCTAAACCTCAAAGAAATGCCACAATCAGACCTCGGAGCAGAAATTAGGGAGAAATACCCAGAAACTCCTTATGCCGTTCGCAGTATACGGGTCTTTCCCTGCCATTAATGCTTGGATAACATACCACGTCTCCTTCCATTAATAATAATAATGTCTAGTGGTGGTGGCTGTGATATAGGGATATAGGCTATAAACCTACCCGTTGTTTAAATGACTTATCGCGAGAGGGAAAAAAGGACGTTGTAGTCGCATAACATAACATCAGTTAATGGAAACGCCGTCATTTCGCAATAGTTTTTTATCACATTTAGAAAAATCGCAAAAGTTTTGCGCAAATCTGTAATGGAAACGCGCCTACTAGTCACTTTAAGAGCGAATGGACGGATCCAATAGGCCTATAGACCTTATGTAGCCCCGCCCCTTTTCAGCACTGCGCTCGTTGTCTTTTGACTTCCGATCTGTATTTTTAGCGATAACTGCTCGTAAAAAAATTCCTGGTCGACATTTGTTAAGACATCTGCTTTACAATGCTTATGATAAACATTACAATGCTCATGATAACTTTTGTTAACTCTACAATAAGTAAATCCACTTCACCAGCTAATTACTCACAGCAGCGATGCCATAGAAATATACAGAGCGACCGCAAAAACGGAAGTTCAAAGACAATATTCTAAAGATGATGGCGCCCACGTTTCTCTGGTGCATAAGGTCTATACTGCAAGCATGTTCTTTCTCAACTGTTTACGTTAAGAGAAAAATGACTGTTTATGTGCCTGCTGGTCAAGATGGTAATTTTGTACACACACTTGTGAGTATTTGACCATTTATACGCAATTTGGTATTAGCGAGATGTTTGTGAGTGAGTGTGCATGAGCGCTCCATCTCTAAGAGAGCACGCGAGTGCTAAGTGGTTTAAACACTGGCAAGACATTAAAAGAAATCCAAATTATAAACTCTGGAGATGTGAGTAGACAGACAAATGTGAAATAAGAGTCCCATCTGTCTTAGTCTGGCTCACCTTATTGTTAGAATAATTCCATACATAAGGAGACCAATAAACAGTCCTGTTATGTTTTCTATCTTGACAAAATCTCCTTTTTATTTATCTTCACAGGTCGCGGTGAAAGTGATTGACAAGAGAAAGGCCAAAAAGGATTCGTATGTCACAAAGAACTTGCGGCGTGAAGGACAGATTCAGCAGATGATCCGACACCCACACATCACCCAACTGCTGGACATCCTGGAGACGGAGAACAGCTACTACCTCGTCATGGAGCTCTGCCCTGGTGGAAACCTCATGAACCACATTTATGAGAAGAAAAGGCTGGATGAAAAAGAAACGCAGAAATACGTACGCCAGCTAGTCATGGCAGTGGAGCATCTGCACAGGGCAGGAGTTGTTCACAGGTGAGAAACAAAAAGTCACAGGGTGTGAGGTCATCGAAAATGTATATAAGTCTTTATTAGAGCACAATGACCAGTCAAATCTTTTTAAGACCTATTGTGGCATAGTTTATTTACAGTTTAGATGGTTGGTTTTATAAATGAAAGTTGTTTCAATATTTTTTTTTATTTTCAACAGAGACTTGAAGATTGAAAACCTCTTACTTGACGAACAGGACAACATAAAACTGATCGGTAAGCAATGTCAGAGATTTACATTATGCAAGGTTTGCTCCTCCTGATAGGTCTGCTTAACATCACAAAGTCACACTAATAAGTCCTAAAGCAGCGGTCGGGAACCTATGGCTTGCGAGCCACACCTGGCTCTTTGACAAAAATCATGCCGCCAGGTCTCTCACCCTTTACCAACAAATGAACAATGAAAGATTTGACCCACCTCATCAGCTTTCTGCATAAAAAGCAGCCAATTACAAATCCTTTGTTGTACAGTCTACAGAAGGTAATGCAACATTTACCATAGCATATTTCAAGTTGTACCGGCAAAAGGGCATGCTCAGTGCTATAGAAATCAACGTCAAACCACTTATGTTTCTATGGTAAACTAGAGCTCCTGCACTCAGATTCAAGCGGCTACTTAGCTTGTTTGTGGTAATGGCGAAAAGAAAGATTTTTAGGGCAACAGCGAAAATTTATAAAAGTATATAAAAAGTGCCTGGACAGAAACATATACTTTTATTGAAACCGGTGCTCTGCTGTAACAAGAGACACCCTTAAACATTTCACCGGGTACTTTTGCTTTTGCCGCATCACATACACCTTTATACTTAAATGTTCTTTTATACACCAATTATAATATATGCATTATATAATATATTTATAAATATAAAAATGCATTAACCAAAAACGAAAAAAACGTCTCTTTGGTCAAAAAAGGTTTCTAAACCCTGACCTAAAGTGATGTGACATGAAAGTGTTCATCTTTATCATCTTTAGTGGTGAAGACTGATTGAGTAATCAGAATCTCATTAAAACCGAACAACCTCTCACCTCTCTGTTAAACTGTTGGCAAACGCATGGCCTTTATTTAGCAGTTGTGTGCGACAGACAGGGTTAGTGTTGTTGGGAAGCCATATACACTTTTGCATCCCTCCTAGTGGGAAGGTATTTAGAGTCAATCCCTCTATGAGCCAGTACACATAAAGTACACATACATTGTCTTATACACAACCCTCTCTCTGTTTCCCCATACAGATTTTGGCCTCAGTAACTGTGCGGGAATTCTGGGATACTCTGATCCCTTCAGCACACAGTGTGGCAGCCCAGCATACGCCGCACCAGAGCTTCTCTCAAGGAAGAAATATGGGCCCAAAGTGGATGTCTGGTCAATGTGAGTTTGCTAAATGAGAAGCACCATGTTCCAAGTTCACATTGAGTAATTTTTTTCTGGATTTGACTATATGTATGTTTTTATTTGTAGAGGGGTGAACATGTACGCCATGCTGACTAATACCCTACCATTCACTGTGGAGCCATTTAGCCTGAAAGCTCTGCATCAGAGGATGGTGGACAAAGATATGGACCCTCTACCTCCATCTATCTCTTCAGGTATTGACAGAACTGCATATCTGAGATATTCAAAAATATATTTATGAGATATTTATGACCACAAAGATCACATCCAAACGGGAACAAGCAACTATTACATGCTGAAAATTAGCCTGTGTACTCCTACCAATTACGTTCTAATGGGTATCACGCTCCAAAAGTTGAGCATGAATGCAGTCTTTGAGAGAATGCACCGTTTTTTAGTCCAGCATGGTGCTTTTGAATGTTTAATTGAAAAAAATAGGGATGGTCTGGTGTCCACAGGTATTTTAAATATCTCAGGAGATGAAAGAAAATCTATTAAAACTGAAAGTCTTCATGAAACATCTAGTTTTCTGACTTGTCACGCTATTTTGTAAACCTGTTTGCCACAGAAAAACATTCCCGAGTGTCAACAGCACAAATACATGTATAATCTTTTTTTTTAATGAAATCATTATATACTGTAGGTCATAATTTAGATACTTATAAGATTTTTATGTCATTATAATGAGGTTAACAACAGTGGTTGACCATTTACTTTGTGTAACCATTGTGTAATTCTCCTTTAACTTTCTGTTTTTTTATTTGACTATTACACTGTAACGGGTGTGTAGCGGGCAGAAGACTCAAAGTCAAAAGGCTCCAAATCAGACAGTTTTACTAATATAAATCACAGGTACAAACAGGCAGGCAGGATGACGGGCAGGATAACACACACGTTGAATACAACTAACAACCAACAAGGACAGACTGAACAGGAAGTAACTAAATACAGACACTAATGAACAGAAACCAGATGACACAAATGAAGGTGATTAACTACGCACAGGTGACAACGATGATGACAGGAAGGTGCGAAAACATGAGGGATGCTGGGAAGTGTAGTGAAGAGGCGGACACAAGACAGACTTTGACATTACACCCCCTTCCGGTAGGTGCCTCCTTGCGCCGTAGGACCAACAGCAGAGGGAGAGAGGGACCAGGGCGGATCAGGCAATGCAGGCGGCCAGGGTAGAGACGACGGAGGGAGGAGCCATGGAGGGGGCAGGGCATCAGACTCCAGGGGGCTGACTGACGGGGGCGGAGCAGGTGGGAGAGGAAACCAGGCTGGAGCCGTGGAGCAGACGAGACCGGGTGATGCTGAGGGACTGGAGAGACATGGTGACACCGAAGGTTCAGGCGACTGAAGTGTAGACAGGGACACAGAAGGACACAGTGAAGACAGAGGGAGTGAGGACCAAAGGGGAACTGAGGGGAGTGAGGAGTCCAACAGAGCCGGGGGGACGAAGGGACGAGGAGAGGAGTTCAGAGGTGAGGGAAGGCCGACGAGGGACAAAAGTGAATCCGGGTGGACGAGGGAGCCTGGCGGAACTGGGGGACTGAGGGGCCATGGTGGAGCTGAGGGAGGTAAGAGCCAAGGTGGAACAGATGGGATGAAGGGCCGAGGTAGAGTCCTGGTTGAGGAGGTTGGAGGCGTTAGTGGCAGGCAGATCCTCGGCAACTCCACCTCCTCAAGGGTGGATACAGGAGCAGAGGGGCTGCCAGGCAGTGGTGGAGGAAAGGTAGAGAGGCAGATGGGAGGAGGTGGGAGGTGGGAGAGGGAGGCTGGGTGGGAATTCAGGCTCTGGGCTGGACGGAATCAGCGGTGAATAAGTCTCTGGACTGGATGGAACCAGCGGTGAATAAGTCTCTGGACTGGATGGAACCAGCGGTGAATAAGTTTCTGGACTGGACGGAACCAGCGGTGAAGAAGGCTCGGCAGGGCTGGACGGGACCAGCGGTGAAGGCTCGGCAGGGCTGGATGGGAACAGCGGTGAAGGCTCAGCAGGGCTGGACGGGAACAGCGGTGAAGGCTCGGCAGGGCTGGACAGGAACAGCGGTGAAGGCTCGGCAGGACTGGACGGGAACAGCGGTGAAGGCTCTGTGCTGGACAGGACCAGCGGTGAAGGCTCTGTGCTGGACGGGACCAGCGGTGAAGGCTTTGTTATGGACAGGGCCAGCGGTGAAGGCTCTGCAATCTTGGTTGGAAACAAGGGCTCGGGCAAGGTCAAGACTGCCAAAAAGATCCGGCATGGCGATCAGGCATGACGTGACGATCTGTTAGGGCTGGCTGTGTCCCGGATCGAGGCTCGACACTCTCCAGACACCGGATGACGGTCGCTCTCCAGTCCAGTCCGGTGGTGTCTGGGAGGTCTATACGCTGGTTGAAAGTGGCCCCGATCCGGAACAAAGTACACAGTCTCTCATCGCCGAGGTCGCTATGGGCAGCAAGACGGCAAAAGCCTAGAGAAAATGTTAGGAGATCTTGGCACAGGTGACAACGATGATGACAGGCAGGTGCGAAAACATGAGGGATGCTGGGAAGTGTAGTGAAGAGGGCAGAGACAAGATAGACTGTGACATACGCATGGTAAATTTTAATGGCAACAAACACATACTCAAAAGAACACAGTCAAAATTCTCAGTGAAAAGCCGTCAGCTCATAAACACTGTTTACTGCAAATGTGCCAGACAAGGGGCGGCTTATTTTTCAACCACAGGAAAAAACGGTTTTATTCTCAAGAGGAAATTATAGGATCTGGTTTATTCTTATTTTTTAATACTATCTGTAAAGACAAAGTATTTCCATAGTATGTAGTTTAGCAGTTGTCTTACTGTAGAAAAGAATATTGTAACAAGGTTAAATAGTTCAGGGAAGGAGTTGGGAACCAGCGAATGTTCAACGTTACTTTAATATCATAAAATAAACAAACACAAAATACAAGTAAAGCGGGAGCCCCACAAACAACAAAACACAACGTAAATATCCTCCTGGTCGTGTCCTCTCTCTTCCTTCACTGTCATCATTCTTACTTTTATCCTTCCGGTGCTCCTCTGTGAGAAACTTGAGGCTCAATAGCAATCGCGCCACCAGCCTCGCTCCGTTCCCACAGCTCTCGTACAGTACAAATACCATTACCATTGTATTACACTGAATGAAAATATGCAAGCAGAATTCCAGATTAATTCTCTTGAAGAGATGACACTGTCAACATTGTGGTTAATCACATTCTGTGGACTTTTCCACTGTGTTACACTTACGTGAGTATTCTCAACAACGGGTGATTTATACACTACTAAATTGGTGACAGGATATATTACTACAGAATGATGCACTGTTGAAATGAGATTAGCCTCATTATGTAACACCGTAATTTAGCATCTCAAAGACGCAAGGCTGTGTGGTCATCCCTTGACTAATGCAAGATGTAGTAGAATCATAATGGCCACAACATTATATGTTTGTCCTAATAAATAATTATTTATTTGTCCTAATAAATCAATTAAACCTAGAGACTGACCAAGGATCATAAACCTTTGTAATTCGAGCTACCTGTATCGTCTCCTTCTGTCCGCTTACAAGGACGTGCTTAATTTTTGTCTACTTAAAGTAACATGGCACAAAGTCCTCACTGCTTCCTGTCTGTGTTCACAGCTGCCGTCAATCTGCTGAAGAGACTGTTAGAGCCTGACCCCGACAAGAGACCCAACATCCACCAAGTGATGACCGACTCGTGGCTGCAGTTGGGCAACCCTCACACTGGAGTTCCTTACTTAAATGGGTTAGTGATCTAATATGCTTTAAAGACAAATTGCTTTTATTTCACCTTTTATGACATATATCCTTGTTTTAACTCTCAGAATCCACATTGAGGATATCAATCATACGGTTCTGCTCCACATGACTGAAAAAATGGGCTACAAACACAGTGAGGTGCTGAGTGCGGTGCTCACTAACAAAACTTGCCACACGCTGGCTGTCTACTTCCTCCTCAACAACAAAATGAAGAGACTCTCAAAAGAGTACAGGGTAAGTTTGAGGAACCAAGATCTACACGATTATCCTTCATAGAACCTTGTCAGATGTGTTTCCTGAGCGTTTAACATACTTTCTTTCTCACAGGAGAAACAGTACAACATGCAGAAAGAGAAAAAGAGCGAGCTGTTTCAGACCCAGGGGAGGAAGCACATTGAGAAGATCACGATTCCACCCAAGCAGACACCCGTCTATCTCGCTGTGAGCCCCACCAAGGAAAAGAAACAAAGAACTGGTAGGTGCCTAGACTATATACACTGTTAAACATAGACATGTATGAACCAAACATGTGGTTAAGAGGTGATCTGGCACAGGGGCGTTGCTAGGGTCAGAAGAGATAAGGGGCTTAGCCCCTGAGAACAAGTCTTGACAAAACAGTGCAAAATATCTTTCAGAGAAATTTCAGCAGACAAAAATCTCCAGACAATATGAGCTGTGGAAAATTATAAGTGATCTAGGAGCTTTATACAGCGGATACCACTGAAAAGGTCTATAGTAAACAGCTTTCCTAATTATGCCTACACTGCATAATCTTTTGCCATAAATAATATCATTAGGTAAAAGTTAATACATAGAATAGTTACAGTTATGTAATGCTAAATTATTGTTTATTATTTATTGGTAAATTGGTAAATCTGCTATTCAGAAAATAAACAATAGATTAACCAGGGAAATAAATAATCGTTAGATCAATCGATTAACCAAATAAATAAATAATCAATAGGAAAAATAATCGTTAGTTTCAGCCCTAGTTGACAGTAAATCAAACAGAGACAAATGTAAACCCTTCAGAGCTGTTCAGGTTGTTATCACATCGAAAAATAACCAAAGTTGAAGATTAAAGATGACTTCATTAGAAAACCTGTGTCACACTGTTATATGTGACTATCCTGAAGAATCTTTGAGGCTTGAAATACTTAAACTCCACAAACTCAGTATAACGCGTGGAAAATCATACTGTTACGTTATGCAGACACAGAGGAAGATGGATGGTGAATAGTGATTTATTGATAATATAAAGGTGCAGTGATGAGGTAAGCAGGGTAGTGGAATCCAAAGCATGATCTTAATAGAGACACAGAGGAAAGGAAGACGCTGGAGACAGGGAGATCGCTGGAGACGGGAATAATCCACATGGCATGAACAAGGTCGGACAATGAACTGTGGTGAGGAGTGTGCATTTGTAGTGGCAGTGATGATGACGTGCAGGTGTGTGTGATTGGAGATGACGTGCAGGTGGGGACCAGGGGGGATGCTGGGAAATAAAGTGCAGAGGATGGTGACTTGGTGGAAATGTGACACGAACAGCTGGTTAATATTTCTGAAATTGTTTTCCCCTAAGTGAAAATGTACTATCCCCCACGTCATTCCAAACCTGTATGACTGATTTATATCTGTGGAACACAAAATATATTTTGAAAAAAGAAAAGAAAAAGTCTGTCTGTCTGTCCATACAATGAAAATCAATTGGGTCCATGGCTGTTTTGCCTGACTTTCATTGTATGAACAAATACAGTTGAAACATTAAACAACACCTTTTCTTAAAGCAGTTTAAAATGTAAATGTCCAGCACTAAATTGCAAAATACCTTCTCTAGGCCACAAGACTTTCTGCATGACAGTAATATAAAGATATTTGCTTGTACAAATAAAGACATGAGTTGGATCTGCTCTGAATCAAACTTTCTCCTATCAATTTCAGGTCTTCTGAAAGCTGTGACTGGAGGTTTTAAAGATGTTTACTCAGGACGTGGTGGTTGCATCACGTCCTCCTCTATGGAATGCTGGAGATCCACCCCCTGTTCCCGAACAACCCGCAGCCAGCCCATCCTACACCCGAGACCCAGCCGCCCCAGAAAGATAGCTCCAAATAATCCCCAAAAGCTGTCAACATCCTCGCTCGCCCAGCTTCCTCCCTCGGCGCTCATTCCTGGGCTTCCGCAAGCAAGAAACCAAGCAAAGAAGCTCCTCCATCACCATGGTACAAACTGACCAACGGAGCACTTTCTCCGCCTCGACACATTTCTGCTTTTCAAATAGATCTTGAGGTAACAAAGCCTCAGGTCAGGACAGTAGACACTGAAAGCCAAGTTCACATGCAGCAGCACATTCAACAGGCTTCTAGTCTAAGTGCCATGTAGCAGCTGAGCCACAACCTTTAACGCACAATTCTTCTGTGAAACAAAGCTGTCACTGCCCACAATAATGTGTGTACTAATATGTTCATGTAGAGTAATATGTACAGTAACATAACAAATACTTTTGATAGTGCACTTATTTGAAAAAAAAACTAAATTAGGGATTTTTAAGCTCTTACTTTATTCAAACTCAAATTGTAATTACACGCAGGTCAATGCTTCACATTTTCAATAGCCTCACTTTTAAACCTGTAGTGAAATGTCAATATTTTATTGGAAGACAACATTCCTCGTTTTTGTCCTGTAGGGCATTTTGTATAGCCTTAAATATCTTGCATTTTGCCTTTGAGCTGAAATGTAAGATGTTCAGTTGTGGCAAGCAGGGCGATGCTGGTGGCGCGATTGCTAAAGAGTGTCACATGCGCCCCACACCTGCCTCGAGTCTCACGGAAGGAGATCTGGAAGAATAAAAGGAGTGATGACAGTGAAAGATGAGAGAGGGCCAGGTCTGTACTTTGTTTTATTTTGTTTATATGCGGCAGTCGTCCATGAGGGGCTGCCGCTTTACTTTCGTTTTGTGTTTGTTTATTTTTGGATTCAGTTTTTATGTTAAACGTTCACCGGTTTCAGCAATTTTAATAAATAAACAAACACAAAACGAAAGTAAAGTGGCGGAGCATCATGTAAATTAATAGATTGTGCAATAGTGTATACTTGATGGCTGACCTGGTTATAACAAGAGATTCAGATCTGCCTGTACATAGAACTCAAGTGTCTTTAATTCCATGCATTTAAAAATGATTAATGCTGTCATTTTCACATTAGATTTGCAAAGCAGACCTCTTTCACATTCATGTGCACATAGGGCTGGGCGATATGGCTGAAAACTGTATCACGATATCAGTGTTTCATATCGGTCGATATCGATAATTATTGATTTTTTTATGACCCATTTAAAATAAGGACCAGGAGAAAAAATATATTACATTTAAACATTTTTATTTTAAACTTACCCTTCCTCTGATTACAATCCCAAGACAGAAATGTCAACACAACCATGGAAAACTCAAATAATTAGAATGTAAACATAAGTCTAAATTCACAATCAGACCTGCAAACTCCTCAGAGTAAAAAAGGTGACAGTGGCGCGGCGCGGCGGGACGGGGGTGGTGGGGGTTTGTGATCGTACGTGCCCCCTGCTTGATTTCTTTTTTTAGACATCACGGTTCGGTACGATTTCGGTACAATGGAGTGAAAAGCAAAACAGAAATATATTAGGCATTTTTATAAATGTCTTAAGCCTTGTATTTTTTAAACAAGTTTTATTAATAAAGGCATAGAACCAGTTTATTTATAGTGCACTGATAATAGTTTTATATAATTGGTTTATTAATTAAACTAATAAAAAGATAGATATGAGATATGTTTGGTAATTGTACCTGAATGAATTTAAAATTAATTTGCTATATTTCAGATCAATATATTTGTTTTCCTTAATTTTAATTAACCCTAACTTTATTCTCATCAGAATTATAAATAGTTGATTTCCGTATAAAATAATCTACCAACATATTTCACTTTCTTTTTTAATTAATGTGTAACTTAAAAATAAACAGATTAGTGCTCTGTTTTGAGGACAAGAAATGAAAACCAATGCGATATGATGAATGTCCAAAAGATGGAACACACAGACTGTTTTAAAAAGGGTTGGATAAATATGTTTTGCTTTTAAAACGGTGTGTGACAGTTGTAGGTTACAGTTTGACAAGAAATACAGTGTGACAAAAGCACAATGTTGTGTTTTATTGCGAGTATAGGCCTACACAAATATAAGTAAACACTTTGCAGACTGAATGATGTCCTGTATTAACAAAATGACGGAGTATGTTTTTATGTCTCCACTGTTCGATCGCGCCCGCGTGTCTCTCTCTCTCTCGCGCCTCTCTCTCTCGCTCGCGCGCGGAGTCGGACACACACACACACACACACACTCCAGCATTGAAATCTTGACATCGCAGCCTGTTCATTATGCTGTGTTCACATCAAACGCGAATAGAGCGAATTATCCAATAATGTTTCGCAACTCTAGCCTGCATGGCATGCAGATGAAGGGCACTCATTTTCTGCTTATCAATCGCCGGTTACTGAAGATGAAGAGGCAGCACGAGACAACGATATGGCGCAACAAAACTGACACGTTACATGATTGCCTGAGCGTGTCACTCCCTACGTTGCTAGGTTACCAGAGAGCGCGTGCCTTTGATAATGCAACCAAACTTGCTTCGCAACCTGTGGTTTCTTCCGACGAAGAAAAAAAATATCGAACGTTTTATCGAACACATTTTTTATTGATATCGATCACGTGTCTATCGCGATACATATCGTTATCGTTTTATCGCCCAGCCCTATGTGCACATAAAACTTATGAGCTGTGAAAAACTTTTTTCTGATCTCAACTGCACTTTCGCATGCACACCAGGCATTTTTCCCCCAAAGCGATGTCAGTTTTTTGGTGACACGTCTTTGTACTTTTGTTATGGTGAAGATAAATTTGAAGGTCTTTTGTAAGTTTTGTATTGATTTGCCAAGTTAAAGGATATTTTAATGCTGTAAAAAAGATTTTAAATATATATATTTAAAGATTATTATTTGTGTTCTGAATTTTCTATTCTAATGCAGCATGTATTACTTTTTTGACACAAATAAATGCACGATACCTACATTTCAGTTGTATTTTTTTGTTCATACATAAAATGGCTCTAAATAAAACTATAATTTTTGATGGTAATTAAAAGAGTTTGTCACAGAAACTAAATTTTAACAGTCATTTACAGAGAAACAGGTGACCTGGAGTAACTCTATACGCTTTTCCCATGAGGAACTGGCAATAACCATTAAAAGGATGGTATAATGCCCTTTTTTTCAATATGTAAAATAAGTCTCTGATGTCCCCAGAGTGTGTATGTGAAGTTTTAGCTCAAAATACCCCACAGATAATTTTTTATAGCATGTTAAAATTGTTCCTTTTTGAGGGTGAGCAAAAACGCGTCGTTTTGTGTGTCTCTTTACATGCAAATGAGCTGCTGCTCCCGGCACAGAGGGCGGAGCTTCAAGAGCTTGTGTGTGTGTGTGTGTGTGTGTCATAGACAGTAAAATAAATGGACACAGCGACCCCATAGACTTCAATGGAGAAGAGTGAAGTCAATTAGAAGCACTTACTTCCTGATGGGTGAGCGTACTGCGTAGGCTCAAACTGAGCTTGACGACGTAGATGTGACATGAGCAACCTGTCTGACAGTTGTAAGTCTTCTAGTAGCTGTGCCAAGACGAATCTGAATCATTCCCTTCCGAATCTTGCAGAGATGGAGAGCGTGAGGAGCTGTCTGTGAGCTAGCAGCAGGATCAACTTTATGACTGTCTATGGGCTTCTCCCTTGACTTTATGCCTTCGCGTCCCCCCGATTGCCTGCGAGCTTCTCCTCCTGTCTATACGGTAATTTCTCTACTGTGCGACAGAGAGTCGTGTGGTTATGACGCAATCGTTAGCCTATTTTTACAAAAACTGCTTCTACGGGGCCATATAGATACAAGGTAATGGAGCCTTTTATAAATTGTCGTGTTTCTTTAGAAATAAACAATGGACAAATGGAGTCTTTAAACACCTCAGATGTAAAGTTATTCGCGGTCAAAGTGACGCCAAAATGAATGGGAGTCAATGGAATGCTAACAGCAGGTGAAGGCTTGCTAGCCAATGGGAGCCCCCAGGGAGGCTTCAGTTTCCGGCTGGTGGATTTCCTTGGTGTGTGTGTGTGTGTTAGCAGCTCCGATTACCTCACACAGACACGCACTGTGTGTGTGTGTGTGTGTGTGTGTGTGTGTGTGTGTGTGTGTGTGTGTGTGTGTGTGTGTGTGTTAGCAGCTCCGATTACCTCACACAGACACGCACTAAAATGTCAGAAACTGTTCTGTCTTTTTTGTTTAAACCGGAGTCGAACAATGATGGAGAGACTCAAGAAGTGACAACATAGAATGCAACAGGACGTTTCTGAATGGCTAGTTGATGCATTTATGTATGTGGAGTTAACTATCATTGATTAGCATATTCTTTCATGATAATCTATAAATTGCTAGTGTGGGAACTGTTGTAAGATGCCTACAGAGTGACATGCTATTGCATTAAGTTCAGTATTGCAATAAATGTGAAAAGACGGATGCGACAGCTTGAGCAGACTCACAAATGTGCTCTAACACAACAACTCTTCCTCTTCTCAACACTGCTTGTGTTACCGGGGGCCGGCTTTATGTAAATTTTAGGGTTTGTGATGTCCCTAACCCGGGAGGAAGCTTGTGTAGTCCCTACCAGCCGTTTGTTGTAGTCCTTAATAAGTGATTTCTGTAAAAGAAAATATCTCCCTTTGCTTTGAACTTTGAGTGTCGTATGATTGTTTATGCTAAAACAGCAACATCACACTAACTAAAGTTAGAAAGGGAAATCATAATCAACCACCCCTTTAAATGAGTGACAGCTGAAAGACCCTGTGTCGGATAATCCAGTCAGCTGTACCCTCACATGCACAGACACTCTATTATACACCCTCTTGCTCTTGTGCCCCTGTACTAGGAGACCAAAAAAAGGGGGTGGGGGTAGAGTGACCCAAAAACAGTCTCTTCAAACCATAGACTGTAAAAAAAATATGGACATAGTGTCCGTGACATCACCCATAGGTTTATGAAGAGCATTTTTGAAGCCTAAAGTGGGCGGAGCCGGCCGTCGCCATCTTGGCAGCGCGTCACTCCCGGATAACAGAAAATGTCTACCAATGCACCCGCCATCTAAGTCACTGCGGACGTGGTTAAATTTCATTTTTGAAGGAAATTTCCTGAAGAAAATGGCTAAAGTCATTCGTTTGTGCCAATAGTTGGCTCAATAAATGTTACATGGTTTCTGAAGAGAATACACATTTAAACAAACAGGCTCCAGTCCAGGATGGTCAATCCCTTGGG